AGACTTTTTCTCACCAAGTGCTACCACACACACCGCCATGAAGGAGGGAGGCTATGCTGGGAGAGAACTACACTCCTCGAGCTTCAGATCCACAAGTTTATATGAACTGGAAGCACAGGGGGTGGTGTCTGGGGTGGGGCTTATTAAGTATTCAAAGCAGTGGAGTTTGGGGCAGAGTTTGAGGATGTTCATGTTCTGCCCTTTTTTGGGAAACGGAAATGTCGCAGTGTCAGACGCATCTTGGGAGTAGGTGTCTCGGCCATGGTGATTTCATTATAATGACCTTATAAGGAGCTAAAAGTCATTACAGGGACACAGCTGGCAGCCATGTTGGTTATTTTAGTGGCGGGACTATAAACCACAAAACTTCTAAAGCTTCTGTTTCTGTTGCAAGGAAGTGGTGAGGGAGTTTGGGTGGTCTAGCGGGGCTGCAGGGAGGGGCTGCAACCCCCTGCCTGCATCAGAAGCGCGCTGCCTTTCCCAGGTTAGTGATGCTAGTGAGGCCCCGTGAAGGATGTTTCACGCCAAACCTTGAGGGGCAGCCTGCCGCGTCTGCTGAGCTGACCAAGAACACCAAAGGCACTGGTCGGGAAGATTCACCCACGAAGGAACGGGAGGGGGGCTGAGGAACAGGAATCCAGGAAGCTGACAGAGGGTCTGTGCTCACGGGGAAAGGGGATGTTGGTCATTTTGTCCCAGAGCACGGCGTCCCCCATGTCCTTTGGGCTCCTGGGACAGAAACCACTTGAGGCCCACACAGCCATCCGTAGTCACAGGCTCTCCATCTTTGAGCAATGGTTCTCAGACCAGAGGCAGCAGAGAACTCTTCCTCAGCAGAGAGGCACCTGGAGGCTTCAGGCCCTATGCAAAAGTGCAGTGGGTGAGTAATGAAGGGAAGCGGGTGGGCCTTACGGTACTGAAGTTCTAAAGGCTTTCAATACATCTCTCAGGGAACCCAGCATTGGTGTACAGCAATCAGAAGGTTCAGTTTAGAATCCACTTCAGAGGAAGTTGCAGCTGATACACGTGATAGGCTGAATTTAAAAAGGATTTTCAGTAAACAAAGAAAGGCAGTGCTCACTTTAAATTATTTTCAAATTAATCAAATGACACTAAATGATAATTAGCCCATCTATATTGTTTGTCATATCCAGTCTCAATGCTCTTAAGTCTGAGACAGAAGACACCTGGAACCAGTACCAATGATAATCTAGTCTTTGGGTCCTATACAGATAACTGTAATCCCTCCCCCCCACACACACATATACTCAACATTTCAATAAACTGAGCCTTTTATGATCTAGATTAACCCACGAGAAACACCCAGGGGCTCAGCCTTCTCTTTTTCCGATTATCAATTTGAGTGGATATTGAGGAAGTTCAAACATCTACGCCCTTCTAATCATACCAACAGAACAAGTTTGTTCTGCCTATCCAAAAGCGCACATTGCTAAGGCACTGATGTGTAGTCTGCAACGTTCTATCTCTTATCTTGCCGTTGTGACATGTATTACTTATTTTGACAGGCAGAGTGGACAGTGAGAGAGAGAGACAGAGAGAAAGGTCTTCCTTTGCCGTTGGTTCACCCTCCAATGGCCGCCGTGGCTGGCGTGCTGCGGCTGGCGTGCTGCGGCCGGCGCACCACGCTGATCCGATGGCAGGAGCCAGGAGCCAGGTGCTTCTCCTGGTCTCCCCATGGGGTGCAGGGCCCAAGCACCTGGGCCATCCTCCACTGCACTCCCTGGCCACAGCAGAGGGCTGGCCTGGAAGAGGGGCAACCGGGACAGAATCCGGCGCCCCGACCGGGACTAGAACCCGGTGTGCCGGCGCCGCTAGGCGGAGGATTAGCCTAGTGAGCCGCGGCGCCGGCCCTAAAGTGCTTTAAAACTGTTGCTGTCTGAAGGTCAGGATGTCTGGTCTTTCTGTAATGCTAAAAGAAAACCCACAAAAACTGAAGAAGCAATATTGCTCAAAATAAAATCATTACCAGATGTTCATTCATTTATTCATCCAATAAATGCCTGCCCTGTGAAATATTATGTCAGACACTGTCAGGGGCTAGGTGAAGAGGTATTCATTCAGAGAACACCAAAGATCACTCTAAAACACATCTTAGAACAGCTGAAATAATCAGGAAATGGTTATCCTGGAAATTAGCATCTTCTAGGAAAACATGGAAGAACTGCTACCTATTTAACCCATTTCTTGCAGGGAAGAGATTAAACTTGTTTTGCACAGAATCACAGATTTAATATCAGTGGGTAGCAACAGAAATCAGCAGAGGGAAGTCACAATGACACTGAGAAGTAACTATCCAGTTGGTCTAAAAACAAATATGCAGTTTGGGCAAGGAACAGAGACTCGGCCAGCAACACTGGTACCAGGAAATTCTAGTGCAGTCACTGGATACCCTATTCTACATGAATCCTAATCTGACACTGCTCTAGCTCACCCAAAGGCAATCACCACAAGCACTTTTACTCATTTTTCTTGTTGTTCAGTTTTGAAGCTGCATGGTCAAAGATGAGGTGGGGAGGATGGTAATGGTGGAGTGTGTGTGGAGGATCACATGGTGAGCCAGGAAGCACAGGCCCAGTCCAACCCACTTTTACAGCTCTCAAAAAGAATCACCTTGGAGAGCATTGTTGTGATACAAGCTACCACCTACACATCCCATTTGACCAGCAGTTCAACTCGAAGGTGCTACACTTCTGATCCAGCTCCCTGCTAATTTATCTGAGAAAAACATTAGATGGGTTATGAGCTTGGGCCCCTGTCGGCAACATGGGAGACCCAGGTCCCAGCCCTGGCTATTAAAGCCATTTAAGAGTGAGCCAACAAATGGAACATGTCTCTCCCTCTTTCAAATCTTAAGAAACAAAAACAAAAACAAAAATCACCTTCCAAGGGTAAACCTCCCAGTTAAGTACCATTAGGCCTACCTCCTAACCACCTTGACTTAGCCCTACCCTCCCAGCACTATTAATTCAAATCAACACACCCAAAACTGAGCATCTACCATTAATATACAAGGCATCTTATCCTGTGCTGTGGCAAATATGAAACACAGCTTGATACTGGGGACATTGGGACCAGTGTTATCCTTTAACCTTAGGGTGTGTCGTGAATGTTAAGGGCATAAGCACTGATGTCAGACCAAGTTCAAACCTAGTTTCGTCACTTTGGGAGACTTAGGAGAAATTAATCTCTAAGCTGGTTTCCTCAGCTACATACTGCAGATAATATCCAGTGAAAAGTACTCAGAGTTGAAGTAATGAACCTAAAGCTCTCAGTCTAATGTGATACACAAAAAACTTAAAACAGAATCGTTACCCTAGTTAGCCTAGTAGAGAAGCCAGGCCACCCCATTCGCAGCTTTCCCACTCACCACCATCATACACACAGAGGGTCAGGATGTCCTGCTAAGTGCTTCCCTCCCACAAGCTCCCTAAGGGATCGCTCATGTCTCAGGAGTGAACAGTTCATCACATTGGCCCAGGCTCCTCCAAACAATTCTCACGACCAAGTCAAACACAGATTTGTCCTAAATCACCAACATGATTCTCCCATTTTCTGTACATCAGCTCAGCTGACCCAGCACCAGATCCAGCCTCACACCAGCTCATCCACTCCCAGAAAACTCCCCTACATTCTCATCTACCTCTTCACCCTGAGAAATCGTCCCTAAACTGCTTCCCCAACAGCAACTGCAGTTTATCATATAATCCTGATACTAAGGGTAATGGTCAGAGCTGGCTTCACTATGAAACTCCTGAAACTTAGGCATCTGTATCCCAACCTTCCAAGAGCTCCTAACATAACAGAAGAGCAACACTTGGAATCTCATTATCATCAAATTCAGGTAACAGAGCCACTATCATTAAGTCGCAGTTTCTTACTCCAGCTTCCCTCTCTTACCTTCCTTTCCATTCAATGCAAATTGTCGGGATCAACTCTCCCTTTACCAGAACACAGCTCAACTCCCAGCTCAAGATTCCCTACTTAGCTTCTAGCACACCAATTTCATGGCTTTCCTCCTTCCACGGAATTTTTTCCCAAAAGGTTCCACCCAGGAGGTACTTGGTAATCTCTGCCTAACAAGCTCTTAACCCAGACATGACTTTCTTCTGGCTTATCCAGCACCTATTTTGAAGTTGTTGAAGGTAACTTTTTATGCACTAGAGATTCCCTAGGCCTGGCACATCAGGAATTCAAATATTCTTAAGAATCTTGTCTGAGTGAAAGAACAGTACTTCTCAAACATGGATACTTATACCACCTAGATATTCCTTTTCTTCAGATACCAATTTAGTAGGGATGGGCCCAAGATTCAGCATTCCTAATTGGATCCCAGGTGATGACAATGTGACAAGTCCAACGTCTAAACTTTCTAATCATTCAAAACTCACTTCATATTAAACATACACCACCAATGTCAAACCCACCACACTACAGCTACGTTTCACCTTTTACTAACCTCCCTAGGTAAACTACTATCTAGACTGTGACTTAATCTGCACTCGCCTACCACTCCAAGTGTCCCAAAATACTGCTTTCCTCAGAAAATACACAACTGCGCTTCACATAAAGCAGGAATCCTACATAATGAACACACTTTTCAACACACCAAAAAACTGCCACTGAGAAAAAAATAAGTCAACTATTTTGAAAACAAATGCATTAAGAACACCCAAGCTTCAGGGGCAGGTGTCTGGTCCGGTGGTTAAGATGTCGGCATCCCCTAGCCAAGGGCTGAGTTTAGTACCAGCTCTACTACCTACCCCAGCTTCCCACTGACACATACCCTGGGAGGCAACAGGCCAACTAGCTAGGTTCCAGGACTGACCCCTCGGCTTTGGTATGCCCAAGCCCTGGCTGTTATGCACACTTAGGGAGCAAACTGGCAGAGAGGAGGTCTCTTCCTTGTACTCTCAACTAAATAGAAATTAAAAATACATAAAAAGGAGTTCTTTCCATAATAATTAACTTGCAGTCACTGAAACAGTCATCAACTGAAGTTCTTTATTTTATGTACAGAGAGATGGTATGACTTTCCCATAGCACTGATGTCTTGGAGGATCCATTCAAGGAAATGACTTAGTCCAACTGAAAAAAAAAAAAAGATAGAAAGTGAATTATTTAAAATGTTTAAAATCTCAACTTGACTCTCATAAAAGGCGGCTAATTTAAGACTGTTTCAACCCAAACTGTCTACTATCAAGATTTAATTAGCTTAAGATGATACAAGGATTAACAAGTAAATTCTACTAAATACTCTACGCATGACCAATGAAGATTTCATCAAGGAGTCAGCAAGAACAGATTAGCATAGGTTGAATATTCCAAATCTGAAAATAACAAAATCCAAAATAGATTTCTGAGAGCTATCATGAAGCCAAGCAGACATTCACACCTGACTTCACATGACAAGGTCACCAAAATATTGAATTTTAGCAAGTCTTTAAGCCACGTGTACCACACAAAGGAATTTCAGGTACAGCTTTAGGTCCTACCCGTCCAACAGCACACACACGTGTGAACTGCAAACAGGTCTGGTTGCAGGCATTTGGACTAAGATTCTCAACTCGTGCTTAAGGGACTTTCAGGACCAATAAAGGCGTCCAGAGAGACTCAAAGTCAGTACAATGACGCTAGAAACGTTCTGAGTCACTGTTCAACACACACATCTGACCAGATATAAAATCGAACTTCCAAAGTAAAATCTTCATGGCTGCGTGGAAAGAAACACATGGCTCCTACAACTGGCAGAGCTGGGTCAGAACGCCGGGCCCCCACCCTTCGCGGCCGCGACAGCCCGGCTCCAACGCCCACACTAGGGGGCCGCCGCCAGCACCCCCGCTCCCACACGCGGCCCGTGCCTACCTTAATGAAGCCGATGTCCTTCGCGTACTGACGGAAACACTGGCGGCACATGTTCAGCCCGTATTTCCGGATCAGGCCGTGCCGGTTTGAGCAGACGCGGCTGTAAAAAAAAAAGGAGAGATGACAGGTCTCGCAAGCCGCAAAAGCCATCCAGCCCTCCGAGCGCCGGCCGGAGCCCACCCGAGGCCTGAAATGGCGGAAGGTGCAGCTCCCATTCGGCCTCCTCCGCGTGCCACCGGCGACCTCCCCCAGTAAGGGTTCTTGGCCCCCTCGCATCCCACGGCAACCCTTCCCGAGTGCCACAGCCCATGTCTCACCAAGAGCGGGAACCCTGGCCGAATTTTCGCGGGTGGCTCCAGTAAAGCTGCTGGTGGCCCATCTTGCTTTCACGAGCGCAACGAGGCAAAAGGAAGGAGCGACCGCACGCATGCGCTCTTTCAACCTTAGAGCGACACGGCTTACCCAGAATGCAGTGCTGAAAGATGACGCGTGCGCAATGGAGCAACATTGGCTGGATTGAGCGGCGAACTGAGAGGCTCTGAGTCGCTGGGGTTGGTGACGTCACCGGGCCTCAGCCTTTAGTATGCTCTCGGCGCTGCCAACGCTCGCCGGGCGCGGTGGCGCGCGCCTGTAGTCCCAGCTACTCGGGAGGCTGAGGCCGGAGGATCGCTTGAGTCCAGGAGTTCTGGGCTGTCGTGCGCTATGCCGATCGGGTGTCCGCACTAAGTTCGGCATCAATATGGTGACCTCCCGGGAGCGGGGGACCACCAGGTTGCCTAAGGAGGGGTGAACCGGCCCAGGTCGGAAACGGAGCAGGTCAAAACTCCCGTGCTGATCAGTAGTGGGATCGCGCCTGTGAATAGCCACTGCACTCCAGCCTGGGCAACATAGCGAGACCCTGTCTCTTTTGACTTCCGAGGAAGTAAATTTTGAGAAAATGAATGATTTTACTCTATTGATTGAACCTTTGGCGTACCTTTAATTAAAATTTTACGCCTAAAAAGAACTTTTTACCTTGACTCAGCACTGACACCTACTGGGACAGACTGACAAAACAGCTCAAAATCAGCTGTAATAATCAGACTGAACGGTAGGAGTATCTTTTCTGTTTTGTTCAACAGAATCCGTTTGCGATTGTTTTTTAAATTAACACACTCCCCCAGGAAATACACTTACACCATTCCAGAAAAAAAGAATGCAAGTCTCCTTAGCCCTTGTTGTACGTGTTTTCTCTAAATATAACTGAATTTAATGGGAGAACAAGAACTGTGCATGGCTTGAACCAGATAGCTTGATACTAAAAGAACTATGACACAAAAAGCAGATCTCTAAGATGTCGAAGTTCCACGTAGTCATAAATAAGGTTTCTGGAAACCTAACATTGTACACGGTTTTGAAATCAAAGCTTGAACTACAAGTATAAAATGCAGCACAGGGCACAACAGTTCAAGAAACTTTTATGGGTAAACTTTTATATTAGGTTTCTGTGTACATACATAATACAATACTTCTTAAAGTTTGTTGTTTCAGGATTCTAGTGGGTTTCTCCTACCCAGTCTTTAAGTTAGGCCCTGTGTTATATGATGAAAGGGAGAGGAATTTTAAAACCAAATATGACTTGAGTTGTGCTCTCAAAACTTGCAAATCTGTTGTAGAAAGCAGAATTCTCTCAAAGAATTCTTCCAGTTAACTTTTGTGCCTCGATGACATGCATACAACTAAATATGCAAGATGTTCTATGACCAAGAACAGATGTTTTCACGAATTAGGAGAGGAGCAGAGAAGAGAGAAATTCCACCTTGGAGTACATGTGGGGGCCTTTGAGACAGACATGAAAGAATGGGATTTCTGCAGGCAGCGCTTTATGGAAGGGAACACCTGGCAAAAAGTGGCATTTGGAAAGGCTTGGGGGTTGTGAACAACCTGGCAAGAAGATGCGCAGAGGCCTATTGACAGGCAAACCTATAAAGGTATTTTATTCTAAAGCCCGACTGTGGAAGGGTCCCATGCCTTGCTTCTACAACTTTCATGGAAATGTAAATCGATTGCTTATATAGAATTTCCAAAGTCTATCTTTACCCAAAAAATGGCTAGGAGCAGACATTGACCTAGCTGTTAAGACCTCAGTTAAAACACCAGCACCCCAGGTTACACTACCTGAATTTAAGTTCTGGCTCCCTTCCTGACTCCAGAAGACTGTGGACACACACCTTGGGAAGCAACAGGTGGTGGATTGCAAGGGAGACCTGGATTGAGTTTTCCGGCTTCCAGATTCAGCCTGGAAGCCCCAGCCATTGCAGGTATTTGGAGAATGAACCAGCAGGGGAGAGCTCTGTTTGCCTCACTCTCACTCTCTCTCCCTCTCAAATAAATAAATATTTTAATGAAACAAGCCTTTTAAGACAGTCCCCAGCATCATACCAGCAGCCACCCAGCAATTACATGGGAATAAGGAGCCGTGGACAGAGGTCACATTCCCTCGGCTGCTACCAGGATCCTTTTGAAAAAAAATTTTTTAAGAAAATCTGACATTTTCCCACTTACAGCCTCCTCAGACCTTTCAGAGTTGCTCTGTTTAACTATTAAAAGATAATTTTTCCAAAATAAATTCCCTCAGTGTGATGGTTAATTTTATGATGTCACCTTGCTTGGATTGAGGAACACCTGGGAGCCTGGAAAACTGTGATTTGGGGTGTCTGCGTATAGCTGCATCCTCAGCTTCTTGGTTCTGAGGCCCTCAGACTTGGACTGAGCCATGCCATCCGCCTCCGGGGCCTCCACCCTGTAGCGGATCTGTCAGGTGCATTATCACGTAAACCAATTCCCCTAACAACACCCTGTCATATATCTACGTACATATCTTACTGATTCTGCCTCTGCAGAGAACCCTGGCTGATATAAAAATACTTTCAATACTCTGATATATGATCCTTTGAGCATAAGGTAGTAAGAGGGAAAGAAAGACAAGAAGCAATTTATTACATTTGGACAATCTTAAACTATCTTGGTTTTTTAAGTAGTAGTTAAAAAAATGTTCATTCTGGTGTATATGTTGTTGTCCTTGATAGATAGTGCAAACTAGATCTCATCATACTTCTTCTTGGTTTTAGGATAAAATGACAGACACCATCTATCTCAACCAATGGGATTACCAATTTCTTTTTCAATAAGAAAGCTGACAACAAAGCATTAAAAGTTCATTTTAACCCAGTGTTTGTTATAAAGATCTTTTAGCTTAATCCCATACTCTTCTTAAAATTTCCTGGTTCTCGTCTATACTTATACTTGGCTTTTAAATGCTTCTTCAGGAACACTGCTATTGTTTGGATATGGGCCAATTGTGTTTTCCCCAACCCCCAAAGCATCCATGGAAAAGAGGCTTGGTCCCCAGAGTGGCAGTGTTGGCACCTGCTGTGGATCCTTCAGGAGGCAGAATTTGGTGGGAGGTTCTTAGGCAGTTTTCACAAGGGTTGTTATAAAGGCCCATCCTGTCTCCCTCTCTGCTTCCTGCCTCAAGAATGTGACACACGATGTGACTGCTGGTCTGATCACATTTCTGCCATTATCATCTACAGCTTGCCATCCACCAGGGGGCTCTCTCACCAGGACTCAGCCAATGCAAGTATCATGCCCTTGAATTCCACAAAATTGAGCTAAACAAGCCTCTTTAGTTCATAAGTAGCATGTGTCAAATACAAATACATTTTCCTAATATAATATTTATTGGGTTTGAGTTTCTCTCTTTTAATACAGTAAAGTACAAAGTAAAAATACACTTTAATCTCCTTGCCCAGATGTTTATTTTTGAAAAAATGAAATTAATACACTTACATAATTGAAACATTCTAACAAAATAATACAAACCACATCATGTTTTTTAATTTAAGCACATTGGAATGATCTCTTTTAAGACTATTTTTCAGAGGTGCGGGTGTGTGAAAAAAAAAAGACTATTTTTCAAAGTATCTTCCATTTTCTTTCTTAAATTGTTCTTACAATCATCTGGATCACAAATCCATAATTTTATCACTCAAAGACCTGCATCTTGAATTATCTTCAGTTTCAGAACTTTTAGAGATAGAATTTTATCTCTTCTTTAAATCACAAAAAAAAAAATCTATTTTTGCCAAAGAGCTTTCGGCTACATGTTTTGCATGCCCAGCTATTACAATGTGTATGTCAGTCCAATACCCTACTTCTTTCCAGTTTATGACAGTTCATTAGTGATTTAATTGACCGTTTTCAAATATTTATTTATTTGAAAGGAGAGTTATAGAGAGGTGCACACAGAGAGAGAGAGAGGTCTTCCATCCACTGGTTTACTCCCCAGATGGTCACAATGGCCAGAGCTGCCCTTATCCAAAGCCAGGAGCCAGGAGCTTCTTCCGGGTCTCCCATGCAGCTGCAGGGGCCCAAGGACTTGGGCCATCTTCCATTGCTTTCCCAGGCCACAGCAGAGTTGGATCAGAAATGGAGCAGCCGGGACTCGAACCAGCGGCCATATGGGATGCTGGCCCCCGAGGTGGCAGCTATATCTGCTACCCCACAGCACCAATTCTACCCTTTTTTAAAAGTCCAATGTTTAAGTATCAGTGTGTGCATGTGTATCTATATCCATTTAAAACAAATGTTAATAGTTTAACTATACACTTGAAAATAAAACACACATATATGCATACATTAAATATACTTTTTAAAGTCTTAGACCCCTGTGTCCATACTCTCCCTGCCCAGATCAAGTCATCCATTCTAGGGAAAATCTCCTTTTTCTTCTGAGAGGCAGACACAGAAAGAGACAGAGGGGTTTTGTCTCTGTCTCTCCTCTCTCTGTCTGCTTTTCAAATAAATAATTCTTAAGAAAAAAAATAAAGAATAAAGACAGAGAGAGAGCACACACTCCCACTCAATGTTCTTCAAATGCTCCCAACCTTTGGGGCTGGAGCCAGAGGTAGGAGCCACAAGTCAATCCAGGTTTCCCACATGGCTGGCAGGAATCCAATCCCACGTTCTATCACTGCTGCTTCCCGGGGTCTGCATTAGCAAGAAGCCAAAAACAGAAGCTGGGCCCGAGAATCAAACCCAGACACTCCAATATGGGACTCAGACATCTTCACTGGTACCTCAAACACTGGGTCACACGTTTACTCCTGGGGAATATCTTAAAGAAATAATCTGGAGCTCAATGGTGTGGTGTAGTGGGCAAAGCTGCCACCTGTGGTGCAGGCATCCCCTATGGGGGCTGGTTTGAATCCCGGCTGCTCCACTTCCGACCCAGCTCTCTGCTGTGGCCTGGGAAGGCAGAGGAAGCTGGCCCAAGTCCTTGGGCCCCTGCACCCATTTGGGAGACCGGAAGAAGCTCCTGGCTCCTGGCTTTGGATTGGCCCAACTCCACCATTGTGACCATCTGGGGAGTGAACCAGTAGATGGAGGACCTCTCTCTTTCTCTCTGCCTCTCTCTAACTCTGCCTTTCACATAAATAAATCTAAAAGAAAGAAAGAAAGAAAGAAAGAAAGAAAGAAAGAAAGAAAGAAAGAGAGAGAGAGAGAGAGAGAGAGAGAGAGAGAGAGAGAGAGAAAGAAAGAAAGAAAGAAAGAAAGAAAGAAAGAAAGAAAGAAAGAAAGAAAATATAGCAATATTTGGAATAGGGTAACTCAAAACCTCTCTTGCTGTGCCACCCAAACATTTTGGATGAAATATGACGGATTTATGGGTCAGTGTTGTGGCACAGCAAGTTAAGCCACCACCTGCACATGGGTGCCAGTTTTTATCCCAGTTGCTCAACTTCTGATCCAGCTCCCTCCTAATTTCCTGGGAAAAGCAACTAAAGATGGCCCCTGTATTAGGGCCCCTGCTACCTATGCAGGAGATCCAGATGAAGATCCTGGCTCCTGGCTCCTGGCTCTGGCCTGGCCCAGTCCTGCTGCAGACATCTGGGGAGTGAACCAGAGGATGGAAGATCTCTCCCTCTTTCTCTCTCCCTCTCTCTCTAATTCTGCCTTTGAAATAAATAATAAAATATTTTTAAAAAGAAATATAATACGTTTTAAATTAGTGTAGAGTTGACCTTCCAAGAAAGGAGGATCTCAATGCCCACGTCCTAAGCAGGGCCTTCGTGCAGCCAGGACACAACCTGAGTTCTGCCCCTGTTCCTGTGAGTCCTTTCCCCTTAAATTCTACATGCTTGCTTCAAAACCAGCTGAGGTAAGTGAGGATACCGAGTGTAAAGGACAAATTTTACCAGTGCCCTGGTAAAGAGAAAAGCAGGAAGCTGTTCAAAGGTTTCTTTGTTTCAGTCTACTAAGAACAAAACATTTGGATACACTCTAGCATGTCAGATCCAAGTATTTCAACTGTTAAAACCACCCAGCTGACCAAGAAAAAGGGGGTAAGTGGCACAAGGTCTCAAACACTGATGTTTGTCTATTTTTAAGTCTACTTAATAAAATAACTTTATTTAAAATATTGTGGGGGGGGGTCGGCGCTTGGCATAGTGGGTAAGGCTGCCGCCTGCAGTGTCAGCATCCCATGTGGGTGCCAGTTTGAGTCCTGGCTGCTGCTCCACTTCCAACCCAGCTCTGCTATGCCCTGGGAAGCAGCTGGCCCAAGTCCTTGGGCCGCTGCACCCGCATAGGAGACCTGGAAGAAGCTCCTGGCTTTGGATCCGCGCAGCTCCTGCCGTTGCGGCCATCTGGGGAGTGAACCAGCGGATGGAAGGCTCTCTCTGCTTCTCTGTAACTTTGTCTTTCAAATAAATAAATAAATGTTTTTAAAAATAAACTGTATCTTGGGAATCACAACTTGTTTTTGAAAATTTTACAATTAGGAAGAAACATTTTGGGCAGTGCAAACCACTGTCTCATGCTAAAATCATCAGTGAATTGTTATGTAGCTCTCATGTATTTAGATGAACATTTATTTACTGAATCCACGGCTCAACAACCTGGTAACACCAAAGAAAGCTTTAAGGCTTTGGGGTGGGGGTATTCTTGATATCTTTGCATGTCTATTTAAAATAACAATGTTTTTACAAGATTTAAGATTTCCCTCGCTCTCAGCTAAATCTAGAAGTCCAACGTATGCTAGTACTTTAGGCTGGTGTTTTATTATTTTCTTCTATGTCATTTCCTACTCAAATAATAGAAGTAACTCCTAGAGTTTCACGGTTTCTGAACATTGTAGTCTTTGTAGTCATGAGATTAACGGTTGCTAAATGCTGACTGGTGTCCACACTACTAGATGTACATGCAAGAACACGAAACAGCGGGAGAGTAACTGTCATTCTCATCACTAAGTTTTTTAGGACGCAGAATCAACGGGTAACACTTCAGTATAGCACATTTTCTGTAAACAGAGACATTCAAGGATGAATCATTCTGTCACGGCTGAATTGAGAACTGGTATCTATACACCAGTTTATAAATTATTTCAGAGCCAATACCCCCCAACCCCAACCCCAACCCCAACCGGCAAGGGACGGGCTGGTCGCGCAGAGCGTTATGAGCCGAGACCACGACCCTGAGACTCAGCGCCGCCCTCGCCCCAGCCCGGGGGTCGCGGGGGGTCCAGAAACACAGCCAAGCGCCCCGAGGGCCACGCGCGGCCGGGTCAGTCTCTCCATCCCAGACACCTGTCGTGGCAAAGTACCAGTTTGTTCCACGGGAATTCAGAGCCAAAAGGCCGGGACGTCTGCGACCGGAAACGTCCCGCCCTCGCCGGTTTCTAGGGCACCTATAACGTCCCAAGGGATACAGAGGGATCCCTGTCTTCCTTCAGGAAACCCAGGGGCCCGACGCATGAAACGCAAAAACCTCACGAATCCGCCCCAAACCGTTAACAGCCGCCCTCGGCTCCCACGCGCTGCGGGGAAAGGACCTTGAGCCCCTGCCAACTGCCGGTTTCCAAGGGTGCAAGCCCGGCTGTCAGACTTCGGAGCCCGCCACGCCCCTGAGGAAGACTCGGTCCCGCAAGGGAGTACGGACGCCGCCGGCCGCGCGGGACTCGAGGGGCCACGCGGGACTCGAGGGGCCACGCGCCTGGGAGAGCCCGGGACGCGGGTGCGCCCGGCGGACAGGCGCATCCGCGGGCAGCCCGCGCGCTCGAGGACCCCGGCGGCGGCGGCGGCGTCGGCGGCGGCGGCGCGGGGTGGCGGGAAGGAGGAAGTTTGAAAGTCGTGGGGCCGAGTTGTCTCTGCTGGGGCGAGATGAGGCTGCACTGCGACGTGGAGGTGGTCAGCCGCCACTTGCCGGCCTTGGGCATGAGGAACCGGGGCAAGGGCGTCCGAGCCGTGTTGAGTCTCTGTCAGCAGCCGCGGTCCCGGGCCGGGGGCGAGCCGGGCGATCGCCCCCGAGCCTGCCTGCTCATCTCCACCCTGAAGGACAAGCGCGGGACCCGTTATGAGGTGCGTGGAGGGGGCAGCAGGGGCCGTGGTCAGCCAGGCGATCGGAGCGAGAGGCGGCCGCCCTCGAGCCCCGCGCGCTCGTCTAACTCCGCGGTGGGGTGGGGTCTGCCTTGGGGGGCTTCCAGGGCTCTGGCCCCGAGTCGCGCCACCCTGGGACCCCGAAGGAAGAGGGCGTGGGGGAGTGCAGCTTTTCGTGAGTTTTCTGGTTAGTTTCTGCCGCTCGGGATCCCAAGTGTTGCTGTGCAGCCGCCCCGCCCCTTAAAGCCTGTGAATTTCAGCCTGCGTGAGTCAGGTGTGAATGAAGCAGCTGTCGCTGTTGGGGGAACCCTGAGCTAACTGCACTTAGCCTGTGTGCATTCTGTTTGTCACGGAGTCTTTTCCCCAGTTTGTTTTTCACAGGAGCCCCTGGGGTCAGTAGCCCAGCTTAGTTCAGCAGCGAAACGGCGATGCTTTGGGTTGCATCTTGACTTTTTTTCTTTTTTCAAGTTGTTGGTTATTGTCCTTTTATTTCCCTCCTTAAAATATTGCCCTGATTTCTTAGGTCCACAGCATTTGGTGCTTGAAGAGCAACAGTAAATTCTCTAGAGGCTATTGGAAGTTTACAAAGAATTTTTAAGAGCAGAAGATTTATAAAATTCCTTTTCCTCCATATCCAGCCATTGTGTGGTTCTGTGAAAACGACTGGAATACTTTTGCGTCCCCAAATACAGCCGCGAGGGGGCACTTCACCACCCACCCTTGTATCCAGCTCCTGACTGGATTGAAAGGGTTTCTGAGATGGTTTCTTTTACAGTGTTATATTCCACACTGGACATTTGTAGTTGAGGAAATGGAATGTTACTGTGTCATTGAGAGCCACCTAATTTTTTTTTTTTTTTTTTTTTTTTAAGATTTATGTATTGGGGCCAGCGCTGTGGCAGAGCAGGTTAAGCCGCCACTGCAGTACTGGCATCTTATATGGGCACCAGTTTGAGTCCTGGCTGCTCCACTTCCGATCCAACTCCCTGCTAATGCACCTGGGAAAGCAGTGGAAGATGGCCCAAGTGCTTGGGCCCCAGCCCCCACATGAGAGACCCAGAAAAAACTCCTGGTTCCTGGCTTCAGCCTAGCCCAGCCCTGACTGTTGTAGTCATTTTGGGAGTGAACCAGCAGATAGAAGATCTTTCTCTGTAACTCTTTCAAATAAATAAATCAGTCTTTAAAAGAAAAAAAGAAGAAGCCCAGTTTACTTATGCCATCCTTGCTGCGTTCTCAGGAATGCTGGCATCAGGACCTAGAGCTGAGATTTGAACCCAGGCGCTCTGATGTGGGACACGGGTTGCTTAACTGCTAGGTTAAATGTCTGCTTCCCTAGTGGGGATTCTGAAGACTGACTGACTTACCTGAAAGTTAGTGTGACAGAGATCCTCCAGCCGCTTCTCTACTTCCTGAATGGACGCAACAACTGGGGCTGCGCCAGGCTGAAACGAGGAGCTGGGAACTCCTTCCAGGCCCCCAATGTGGGTGATGGGAACCCAAGCACGGGACCATCATCCACCTCTTCCCCAGCACAGGATCAAGGAGTAGCCAGGACTTGAACTGGGAATCTGGTGTGGGATGCAGCCCTCCCAGGCAGCACCTTAACCCACTGTGTCTCAACACCACCTCCCCTAGTGGAGATTTTAATCAAAATTTGGTAGTAAACCTTGAAGGTTTAGCCACAATACTCAGGACATCGTGGATGCTAAATGAATTTAGGTGGCACTAGGGTGGACCCTGAAGAATGGGTTTTCATGCTAAGTGAAGGAAATACTTAGGGGTTCTTTCTTGTTATACCCTCTGCTTTGCTGCTTCATGTCTTTAGCTACCAGCCGTCTGACTGTGACTCCTAAATCTGTATGTTAGATAGTCCTCGCCCTTAACTTTGAACTAGAATTTAGTGTCTACTGGAAATGTCTTAAGTTTTTATTTATTTGAAAGAGACACCTACAAATATCGTCCATTTCCAGATGCCTGCACTAGCCAGGCTGGGCTAGGCCAAAGACAGGAGCCCAGAACCCAATCCAGATCTCTGTAGGTCACAGGGACCCAAGTACTTGAGCCACTCCCTGCTGCTTCCCAGGGATTGCATCAGCAGGAAACAGGACTCATACCAAAGCACTCTGATATGGGATGTGGGTGTTCCAGGTGGCATTGCAACCACTGCACCAAATGCGTTCCCTCTGGGAATCTAATTGGATTGTTGCAGCATTTCAAATTATTAATACCTGGATATTAATTTTTCTTGCCACACCCAAATCTGCTTTTCTGACAGTGTTCTACATCCACATCCAGAAACCTTAAAGCCCTTGTGTTCCCACATGTGATATGGCATTAAACCCTTTTAAACTGACTTTCTAAATATGTTTCAGATTTGTGTATTTCCTTCCATTTCACCTGCGGTCTAAGCCACACCCTTCCTGGCTTGTCTCGTAAGGGATCTCTTTGATTCTCTCTCTCTCTCTCTCTCTCTCTCTTTTTTTTTTTTTTTTTTTTTTGACAGGCAGAGTGGATAGTGAGAGAGAGAGAGAGAGAAAGGTCTTCCTTTGCCGATGGTTCACCCTCCAATGGCCGCTGCGGCTGGCGCGCTGCGGCCGGTGCACCACGCTGATCCAATGGCAGGAGCCAGATGCTTCTCCTGGTCTCCCATGGGGTGCAGGGCCCAAGTACTTGGGCCATCCTCCACTGCACTCCCTGGCCACAGCAGAGAGCTGGCCTGGAAGAGGGGCAACTGGGACAGAATCTGGTGCCCCGACTGGGACTAGAACCTGGTATGCCGGCGCCGCAAGGCAAAGGATTGGCCTAGTGAGCCGCGGCACCGGCCTCTTTGATTCTCTTGTCCTGCTCTCCGGCCCATCCTCACTTTCCCCCAGAGTTCGTGCTTTATTCCATGCAGTTAAGGGAAATGTTTTTTAAGAACATTTATCTGGGCCAGAACTGTGGCACAGTGGTTGAAAGCCCTGGCCTGAAGTGCCGGCATCCCATAAGGGCGCCGGTTCTAGTCCTGGCTGCTCCTCTTCTGATCCAGCTCTCTGCTATAGCCTGGGAAAGCAGTAGAAGATGGCCCAAGTCCTTGGGCCTCTGCACCCATGTGGGAGACCCAGAGGAAGCTTCTGTCTCCTGACTTCAGATCAGCTCAGCTCTGGCCGTTGTGGCCATTTGGGGAGTGAACTAGCAAATGAAAAACCTGTCTCTCTGTCTCTACCTCTCTCTGTAACTGTTTCAAATAAATAAAAATAAATCTTTAAAAAAAAAAAAAAAACAGAGAAGGAGAGACAGAGAAAGAGCTGCCACCTGCTCATTCACTCCCCAAGTGGCTGCAACAGCCAAGACTGGGCCAGGCCAAAGCCAGGAGCCAGGTTCCACGTGGGTGCAGGGGCCCAAGCACTTGGGCCATCTTCCACTGCTTTCCCAGGCATATTACTGGGGAGCTGGATTGGAAGTGGAGCAGCCAGGACTCCAGTTGGCACCCATATAGGAATGCAGGCTGTGCTTTAACATGCTGAGCCTCAGCACCAAACCCCTATTTTTATTTTATTTGAGAGAGAGAGACATCTCTTCCATCCACTGGTTCACCCTTCAAATGCCCACAAAATAGCTGGGGCTGCGTCAGGCTGAATCTTAAGTGCCTGGAATTCAGGTCAGGGCTCCCATGTGGATGGCAGAGACTCAACTGCTGAGCTGTCACCAGCTGCCTCTCAGGGTACACATCAACAGGAAGCTGGAATCGGAAGTCAGGCCAGGACTCGAACCTGGGAACTCCAAAATGGCATGCAGGTGTCTCAAGTGACTTTTTAGCCACTGCACCAAATGCCTACCCCAAGAGGATTTTTTTTAATATTTTTATTTTCATCTACTTGAGAGGCAGAGCGACAGACGTCTTCCACCTGCTGGTTCGCTCACCAAAGGCCTGCAACAATCAGGGTTGGGCCAGGCTGAAGCCTGAGGCTTAAACTCAGTCCAGGTCTCTCCCACATGTGTGGCAGGGACCCCAACTATTTGAGCCATCACCTGTTGCCTTCTAGAGTGTACATTATGACGAAGCTGAAATCAAAAGTGGAGCTGGGGCCTTCAAACCCGAGTACTCTATTATGGGATGCAGGTGTCCAAAGCTACATCTTCATTGCTGTACCAAATGCCGGGCTCACACAAAAATGCTAAAACTTGAAAGCCTAAAACACCCCACTTAAGGACTGAGAACCAGACCCAAGCCTGACAAAGTGACTTGCACATTCTAGTTGCTATAAATGCTATTGCATAACACTACCTAGTTTTGTCCCTTTTTTTCTCGTTGATTTTAAGCAGCTGAAGGAGAACATTGAGCAATTCTTCACCAAATTTGTGGATGAAGGGAAAGCAACTGTTCGGTTGAAGGAGCCTCCTGTGGATATCTGTCTAAGTAAGGTATGGATTAGAACCATTAATAGTTAAAGTGCTTAGCTATGTTTTCTTTGAAGAAGTCTGAGCATAGTGATACCATGTATAGCTTACTGGGCTGGGCTGTTGCAGGTGTGTTGAGGATGTGACGGCACAAGAGACAGCCTCTTAAATGTGCTGTGTGCCTTGTAAAGGGCGGAGTCTGTCTAAGTAAGGCTCTCAGGATAGTTAGAGAAAGTAGGTTTGCTTCTGTGCCGGAGATGGAATCTTAACGGTGTTTGACTGAAACTATAAAGCAAGTAGCACAGGTCTACATTTTTGCCAGCTAAACCTCAGGTTCCAATTTGATGGAAGGAAAGGAATAAAATGCATCTTTTCAACATTTTTTTAAAGGTATTTACTTTTTTTCTTCCCACTTATTTGAAAGGCAGAAAGAGGCAGAAGTTTTCCATCTGCGGGTTCCATGCTTGCAACAGCCAGGGCTGGGCCAGTCTGAAACCAGGAGCCTGGGCCCCATCTAGGCTCTCACATGGGTGGCAGGAACCCAGCTCCTATCACATGTTGCCCATCAGGGTCCGCATTAGCAGGAAGCAGAGCCTGGACTTTAACCCAGGCACTCCAGTAGGGAATCTAAGTATCCCAAGTGATGTCTTAATTGCTGGGCCAAACACTTACCTCTAGAATTAATTTTCTTTTTTTTTTAAGATTTATTTGTAAAGAGAATAACACAGAAAAAGCAGTCTTCTAGCCTCTAGCTCATTCCCCAAATGGTCACAACATCTGGGGCTGGGACAAGGTGAAGTCAGAAGTGGAGAGCTCCACCCAGGTCTCCCACATGTGTGGCCCAGGCCCCAGCAGTTGGGCCATCATCCACCATCTTCCCAGGCAGATTAGCAGGACGTTGGATAAAAAGCCAAGCACTTCCAATGTAGGATATCATTTTCCTAAGCAGTGGCTTTTTTTTTTTTTTTTTTTTGACAGGCAGAGTGGACAGTGAGAGAGAGAGACAGAGAGAAAGGTCTTCCTTTGCCGTTGGTTCACCCTCCAATGGCCGCTGCGGCCGGCGCGCTGCGGCCGGCGCACCGCACTGATCCGATGGCAGGAGCCAGGAGCCAGGTGCTTCTCCTGGTCTCCCATGGGGTGCAGGGCCCAAGCACTTGGGCCATCCTCCACTGCACTCCCTGGCCACAGCAGAGAGCTGGCCTGGAAGAGAGGCAACCAGGACAGAATCTGGTGCCCCGACTGGGACTAGAACCTGGTGTGCCGGCGCCGCAAGGCGGAGGATTAGGCTAGTGAGCCGCGGCGCCGGCCGAGCAGTGACTTTAACCTATTGTGCCAGTATACCAGCCCCTTGTCTTGTAATTAAAAAAAAAAAAAAAAAGATTTATTTATTTATTTTGAGAGCCAGTTACAGGGAGAGAAGGGAGAGACAGAGGGGGAGTGAGATCTTCTGTCTGCTGGTTCGTTCTCCAGATAAGGCAATGCCTGGAGCCAGGAGCTTCATCAGGTCTCCCACATAGGTATCAGGATCCCAAGCACTTGGCCATTTTCTGCTGCCTTTCCCAGGCCATTAACAGTCTGTTGTCATCCTGTATTTCTAGTCCTTTCCTGCTCTCCTCAGCCCTCACATTCCAACAAAACAAGATCACTCGTCCTTCACTATACATTTTAGACAGCTCCAAAAGCGTCGTAAGATGCTAGCTGTTTTTATAGATGACTTAATTTAAATGCCATTTTGTTAGTGGTTTCTCCATCTCAGTGGGGACAGTCTCTCTTGCTTTATGTGCTCCTTTCCAGAGGGATGTCACTTTGTATGACTCTAGTCTTTGTGAGTGGCACCCTGGGTAGTTTACAGTACACGGCTTCCAGCATGGCCTATCCCAGAGGCAGTTAAGGTTCTGGTCAGTTCTTCCTAAACTCAAGTCTCACATGGAACCTGTCTTATTTTATGCTTTTATGCTTCTGCCTTTGAATAGTTTTTATTCCCCTTTATAGAACAGTTTTACTTAGAATGTATATTCTAAGCATTCTCAATGTAATTTTTTAAGGTTTATTTATTTATTTGAAAGTCAGAGTTATAGAGAGGCAGAGAGAGAGAGAGAGAAGTCTTCCATCCACTGGTTCACTTCCCAGTTGGCTGCAGTGGCTGGAGCTGGGCGGATCTGAAGCCAGGTGCTTCTTCTAGGTCTCCCACACAGGTGTAGGGGCCCAAGTCTATCTTCTGCTGCTTTCCCAAGCCATAGCAGCCTGCAGAAGTGGAGCAGCCAGGACTTGAACCCATGCCAATATGGGATGCCAGCACTGCCGGTGGTGGATTTACCACTACACCACAGCAACGGCCCCAGTTATTTACTGCCTTTCAAGTAAATAACTAAATGTTTTTAAAAAAAAGTTTTTGAAAAAAAAAAAAAAAAAAAGGCAGTTGCCCAGAAAGAAAGAGCAAGAGACAGAGAGGGAGAGAGAGAGATGGGGCTGGCATTATGGCACAATGGGTTAAGCCACAATGCAGACATCCCATACAAATGTCAGTTGGAGTCCCGGCTGCTCTGCTTCCAGTCCAGCTCCCTACTAATGCCCTGGGAAAGCAACAGAAGACGACTCAAGTGCTTGAGTTACTGCCACCCATGTAGGAGACCTGGATGGAGTTCCAGACTCCTGGATTCAGCCTGACCCTGCCCTGGCCATTGTGGCCATTTGGGGAGTGAACCAGCGGATGGAAGATCTCTGTCTCTCCCTCATCTCCCAAACTTTGCCTTTCAAGTAAAAAAAAATAAATAAAATCTTTAAAAAAGAGAGATCTTCCATCCATTGATTCATACTTCAAATGGCCACAATAGTAGGGTTGGGCCAAGCTGAAGTCAGGAACCAGGAACTGCATCTGGGTCTCCTGTGTGATTATAGGAGCCCAAGCACTTGGCCATTCTCTGCTGCATTTTCAGGCACATTATCAGGGAGCTGGATCAGAAGTGAAGCAACCAGGACTCAAACTGGCACTGTCGTGGGATGCCAGCATTGCAGGCAGTGGCTTAACCCCTGCCTCACAACACTGGCTTCTCAAAAAGATCTAAGTTGAAATGTCCAAAATCTTTTTTTTTTTTTTTGACAGGCAGAGTGGATAGTGTGAGAGAGAGACAGAGAGAAAGGTCTTCCTTTTGCCATTGGTTCACCCTCCAATGGCCACCACGGCTGGTGCACCGCCCTGATCTGAAGGCAGGAGCCAGGTGCTTCTCCTGGTCTCCCATGGGGTGCAGGGCCCAAGCACTTGGGCCATCCTCCACTGCCTTCCCGGGCCACAGCAGAGAGCTGGCCTGGAAGAGGGGCAACCAGGACAGAATCCGGCGCCCCAACCGGGACTAGAACCCGGTGTGCCGGCGCCCCAAGGCGGAGGATTAGCCTATTGAGCCGCGGCGCCAGCCCCAAATTCTAAAACATTTCTGATTTACAGCCAATTTCAATAAGTGATTGTATCACCTTCACATATATCACTCTCCAGAATTCCTTATGGGAAGAATTAGCATATATGTATTATCTAATGTGGAATTTGCAGTTGTACAACTTACTTTTATTCATTCAGGCCAACTCCAGCAGTTTAAAGCAGTTCCTTTCAACTGTGAGACTGGCTCATAGAGGCTGTGAAGTTAATGCACAACTTTCAACACTCACTCCAGTGAAGACTTCAGAATTCGAAAAATTTAAAACTAAAATGGTTATCACATCTAAAAAGGACTATCCTTTAAGCAAGAACTTTCCGTATTCTCTGGAACATCTTCAGACTTCTTATTGTGGGCTTGTCCGAGTTGATATGCGTATGCTTTGCCTAAAAAACCTTCGGAAATTAGACTTGAGTCACAACCGTATAAAAACGCTTCCAGCTACGATTGGAGACCTCATACACCTTCAAGAACTTAACCTGAATGACAATCACTTGGAGTCGTTTAGTGTAGACTTGTGTCAGTCTACACTCCAGAAGTCTCTTCGAAGCTTGGATCTCAGCAAGAATAAAATCAAGGCACTCCCTGTGCAGTTTTGCCAGCTCCGAGAGCTTACGGATTTAAAACTGGATGATAATGAATTAATTCAGTTTCCTTTCAAGATAGGACAACTAACAAACCTTCGATTTTTGTCAGCAGCTCGAAATAAGCTTCCATTTTTACCCAGTGAGTTTAAAAATTTATCCCTTGAGTACTTAGATCTTTTTGGAAATACTTTTGAACAACCCAAAGTCCTTCCAGTTATAAAGCTGCAAGTGCCATTAACTTTGTTAGAGTCTTCTGCACGGACCATACTTTGTACTAGGTAAGATTTTAATGCCAACCTAGGTTTCTCATCAAACTGTTCCTTATCATAGCTCACACACTCCATTCAGCTCACTGCCCTGGTGTCATTCCAGAAAGGTCTCACCTGTCCACCCCATCTAAAGGATTATTCCCTACCTACCTACATTGTTTGATTTTTTTTTTTTTTTTTGGTCATAGGATCTATTACTTGAGCTTATAAATTTTTGAGCATTTGTTTATTTGCTGTCAGTTTTCCCTACTAAAATGAAAGATCCGTGTCGGCATGGACTTTCTTATTCTCCACTATTTCTATAGAGTCTAACATGTAGTATACTTGTCCTGGCATAAATCAGCCACTTAATATGTACTTGAATAGGGGTAGGTATTGTGGTATTGTGGCAGGTTAAGCCCCTACTTGGGGCTCCCACGTTGTATATCAGAGTGCTGGTTTGAGTCCCGGCTGCTTAGCTTCTCATCCAGCAGATGATGGCTCGAACACTTGAGTCCCTGCCACACATGAGACACTCAGAATTCTGGGCTCCTGCCTTTGACTTGGCCCAGCCCCATCTGTAGTGGCCATTTGAGGAGTGAACCTACAAATGGAAGATGACTCTTTCTCTTTGTCTTTCCCTTTCATCACCCTGCCTTTCAAACAAACAAATAAATCAATCTTTAAAAAAAAAAGATGTTAAATGAATGAATGCATTTGAATGAATGCATTGCTTTTTGAAGTGTAGTACTCTGATCTGCATCATAAGCATCACCTAGGAACTTGTCAGTGATGCAAGTACTTGGGCTACACCTCAGACCTACTAAGTCATGAGACGGGTGTAGCTGTGTGTTTCATTTTTAAAGATTGGTTTTATTTATTTGGAAGGCAAAGTGACAGAGAAAGATCTTCTATCTGTTGGTTCACTCCCTAAATGCCTGCAATGAAGCCAAAGTTTGTAACTGTATCAGGGTCTGTCACATGGTTGCAGGGGACCAGATACTTGGGCCTTCACCTGCTGCTTTCCCAGGTGCATTAGCAGGAACTGGATTGGAAATGGGACATCCAGGATGCAAACTGGCACTCCAGTATGGGATGCTTGTGTTACAGGTGGTGGCTTAACCCAGTGCATCACAATGCCAGCTCTTCTAGCTGTGGTTTAATAAGTCCTGATTCTGATGCACCCTAAAGTTTGAGAACTCCAATCTGCCATAGTGGTCAAGTGAGTAGTCTCTGGAGTCAGACTTGGTTTTGATCCCTAGCCTTAGTCCTTTGTGTGATATTAGCAATTTATTCAACCTTTTTGAATCAGTTTTCTCATTTGTGACACAATACCTACTTTACAAAGTTGTGAAGATAATTGAGCTAATCTAAGTTCAAAGCATTGGGCAGATACTAGGGTTCAGTAGCTGCTGATTCTTTCTCTCTGGTGTTGAACACTGACCACGGTTGTTTTCAGTGACACTCTGAACTCCAATTATTCCTTTTGTTCATGTTTCTTGCATGTAGGTATAGAAGCTAAGATGTGATCCAAATGGTAGGAATATCATATATATTTTTTTAAGATTTATTTATTTGAAAGGCAGAGTTATAGAGAGAGAGCTTCCATCTATTGATTCATTCCCCAAATGTCCACAACAGCTACGGCTGGGTTAGACCAAACCAAGAAGCCAGGAGCTTCTTCTGGGTGCAGGGGCCCAAGCACTTGGACCATCTTCTACTGCTTCCCCAGGCACATTAGCGGGGAGCTGGATCAGAAGTTGAGCAGCCAGGGCTTGAATCAGTGTCCATATGGGATGCCATCATCACTGGCGGCGGCTTAACCCGCATCACCACAACACCAGCCCCATAGAGGAGCTTTTAAATAATATGCTAGATATATAGAGGCCAGTGGGTTAAGCTGCCACCTGCGATGCCAACATCCCACATGGGCACCAATTTGAGTCTCAGCTGTTCTATTTCCGATACAGCTCCCTGCTCAAGTACCTGGGAAAGATGGCCCAAGTCCTCAAGCTCCTGCACCCACATCGGAGACTGGATAAAGCTCGTGACTCCTGGCTTCAGCCAAGCTCAGTCCTGGCCATTGAGGCCATTTGGGAAATGAACCAGCAGATGGAAGATCTTTCTCCCTTTCTGTGTCTCTGTAACTCTGCTTTTCAAATAAATAAATGTTTATAAAAAGAGAGCAAGGAGAAATACAGATTCCTAGAGTTAACCTCAGTCCCACTGTTTCAGAATCTCTAGGTTGCTTATTATTTGTTAGGTATTTGAAGTATACATAAAGGAAAGATGACTTTTTCATTCCTGTTTTGTGGGTTATCCTATTAAGTGGCCATGCTGAAAGATATTTTATTGAATGGCATATAGACCATCTTTTAAGTTCACAATATTCCATATGCTGTTTTTAAGTATATTTTCCCCATTCTTACCAGATAAAACAATATAAGTCATTAAGTGATCATTTTATTTTTCCATCATTGTAATTCAGTGTCCTTATGATTCCTGTCCTGATACTTGAAGTTATGAATCTAGTAACATATTATAAAATATTTTTAAACATTTTTTTCCAATAGGATTCCATATGGCTCTCATATCATTCCTTTCCATCTTTGCCAAGATTTGGATACTGCAAAAACCTGTGTTTGTGGAAACTTCTGTCTGCGCTCCTTCATTCAAGGGACTACTACCATGAACCTACACGCTGTTGCTCACACTGTGGTCTTAGTAGATAATATGGGTGGTACTGAAGCACCTATTATCTCTTACTTCTGTTCTCTAGCCTGTTATGTAAATTCATCTGATATGTTAAAGTAACAAATAACACCACAAAAAAGTTCATTCACTTAGAGATTATGTAAGATTCATTCATTATTTAACAGTGTCAAATTGGAGAAAGGGAAGCTTTTTGTATACTTGCTTGAGAGGAAGACTATGTCACTCTACCATTTTAAGTCATTTGGTTCTGAACTTTTAATTTCATTAAAGCAAAATTTACTTTTATTGTGGGGTTAAGTTTTGTTTTTGTGTTTTAAACATTTATCTGTTTGAGAGGTTCTCTGATCCACTGGGTCAATCCAAAGCCTGGAGCCAGGAGCTTTTTCTGGGTCTCCCATGTGGGTACAGGGGCTCAAGTACTTGGGCCATTTTCCACTGCTGTCAGAGACACATTAGCAGAGAAATGGATCAGAAGAGGAGCAGCTGGGACATGCACCGGTGCCCATATGTGATGCCGGTGCAACAGGCAGAGGCTTAACCTCCTACGCCACAGCCCCGGGGTTAAGTTTTTAATCTATTTGTTGCACTTGTGTGGATTTCAGTCTAAAGTTTCCAGGATAGATAGGGGTTATCCATTAAGCAGATGTTGACCCTTCAGTCACTCTGATTGTAATAATTTTCTTACCAGCTTTCCTCCTTAATTTCAATTAAAGATAGTGAGTTTGGGGGCCAGTGTTGTGAAGCAGAGGGTTAAGCCACTGCTTACTGTGCCGGCATCCCATATCTGAGTGCTGGCCTGCTTCTCATCCAGCTCTCTGCTAATATGCCTGGAAAGGCAGTGGAATATAGTCCAAGTACTAGGGCCCCCGCCATGCAAGTGGGAGACCAGAATTGAGTTCCTGGCTCCTGGCTTTGGCTTGGCTCAGGCCCAGCTATTGAGGCCATCTGGAGGGTAAACCAGATCTCTTAATCTCCCTATCTCTCTTCCTCTCTCACTGCCTTTCAAAATAAGTAACTGCTTTTAAAAAAACAAATTGAGTTTTTGTATGCAGAAAAATACACCATTTATTTATTTATTTTAGTTTATTTTATTTATTTGAAAGAGTTATAGAGAGGGGTAGAGACAGAGAGAGAAAGAGATCTTCCATCCACTGATTCACTCCCCAATTGGCCGCGACGACTGGAGCTGTGCCGATCTGAAGCCAGGAGCCAGGAGCTTCTTCCAGGTCTCCCACGCAGACGCAGGGGCCCAAGGACTTGGGCCATCTTCTACTGCTTTCCCAGGCCATAGCAGAGAGCTGGATCAGAAGAGGAGCAGCCGGGACCAGAACCGGCACCCACATGGGATGCCTGCACTTCAGGCCAGGGCTTTAACCCTCTGCGCCACAGCGCCGGCCCCAAAATACACCATTTATAAGACGTTCTAAGTTACAATGAATACTTAACTATGAAACTAGTCTATATAAGATTGAACATCCTTAACCTAGCAATCTTAAGTCCAAAATGCTCCAAACTCTGAAACTTTTTGAATGCAGGTAGGACATCACAAATAAAAAAATTCCACAACTAACTTTGTGTGACAGGTTACAGTTAAAATGCAGGACCACTAAAAATAATGCATAAAATTACCTTCAGAGGTCGGCATTGTGGCTTATAAGTGAAACCACCACCTCTAGTCCCGGCATCCCCTGTGGATGCTGGTTTGAATCCCAGCTACTCTACTTCCAATCCAGCTCTCTGCTATGGCCTGGGAAAGCAGTAGAAGATGGCCCAAGTCCTTGGGCTCCTGCACCCACATGAGAAGACCCAGAAGAAGCTCCTGGCTCCTGGCTTCGGATTGGCCCAACTCTGGCCATTGTGGCCATTTGGAGAGTAAACCAGCAGATAGAAGACCTCTCTGTCTCTCTGCCTCTGCCTCTCTCTTTAACTCTGCCTTTCAAATAAATAAATAAATCTTTAAAAAAAAATCACCTCCAGGGGCGGCACATTTGCCCTAGCTCTTAAGATACCTATTGGATTCCCATATTAGAGTCTGGGTTTGAATCCTGGATCCACTCTTGATTTCACCTTCCTGCTGATGTGCACCCTGAGAGGGAGTAGTGACAGCTCAACAGCTGGATCCCTGCCAACCATGTAGGAGACCTAGATTGAGTTCCATCTCCCAGCTTTAGCCTAGCCCAGCCAGCTGTGGCCACAGCAGACATTTGGGGAATGAGCCAGAGGATGGGAGCTCACTCTTGCTCGTTCTCAAATAAATACAGGTTTTTTTTAAGATTTATTTATTTATATGAAAGAGTTACACAGAGAAGGAGAGGCAGAGAGAGAGAGAGAGGTCCTCCATCCAGTGGTTCACTGCCCAGTTGGCTACAACGGCTGGAGCTGTGCCGATCCAAAGCCAGGAGCTTCTTCCAGGTCTCCCATGCGGGTGCATTCGACTGCTTTCCCAGGCCATAGCAGAGAGCTGGATTGGAGGTGGAGCACCCAGGACTTGAACTGGTGCCCATAGGGGATGCCAGCGCTGCAGGTGGCAGCTTTACCCACTACACCACAGTTCCAGCCCCAAATACATTTTTTAAAAATTACCTTCAGGGGGCTGGCATTGTGGTGCAGCAAGTTGAGCCACTGCCTGTGATGGCAGCACCCTATATGAGCACCTATTCGAGGCCCAGCTGTTCTACTTCTGATCCAGCTGCCTGCCAATGTGACTGGGAAAGCAACAGAAGATGGCCCAAGTGGTTGGGTTCCTGCTACCCTCATGGGAGACCTGGTTGGACCTCTAGGCTCCTGGCTTCAGCCTGGCCCAGCCCTGGTCATTGTAGGCATTTGGGGAGTGAATCAGAGGATGAAAGATATCACTGTCTCCCTCTCTAACTCTTGCTTTCAAATAATCTTTTGGTTTTTAAAGATTGATTTATTTATTTGAAAGGCAGCATTATAAAGAGAGAAAGAAGGCTTCCATCCACTGGTTCACTCCTGCAATGGCCAGAACTGGGCTGATTCAAAGCCAGGAGCCAGAAGCTTCTTCCTGGTCTCCCACATGGGTGTAGGGGCCCAAGGACTTGGGACATCTTGCACTGCTTTCCAGGCCATAGCAGAGAGCTGGATCAGAAGTGGTACAAACGGCAAAGGAAGATCTTTCTCTCTGTCTCTCTCTCACTGTCCACTCTGCCTGTCAAAAAAAAAAAAAAAGAAGTGGTACAGCCAGGTCTGGAACCAGCACCCTTATGGGATGCCGGCACTGCAGGTGGCAGCTTTACCGCTATACCACAGCGCTAGCCCCTTTCAAATAAGTAATTTTTTAAAAAAATTTACCTTCAGAGGCCGGCGCCGTGGCTCAATAGGCTAATCCTCCACCTTGTGGCACTGGCACACCGGGTTCTAGTCCAGGTCAGGGTGCCGGATTCTGTCCCGGTTGCCCCTCTTCCAGGCCAGCTCTCTGCTGTGGCCTGGGAGTGCAGTGGAGGATGGCCCAAGTGCTTGGGCCTGTACCCCATGGGAGACCAGGAGAAGCACCTGGCTTCTGCCATTGGATCAGCGCGGTGCACTGGCCGCAGCGCACCGGCCGCGGCAGCCATTGGAGGGTGAACCAACAGCAAAAGGAAGACCTTTCTCTCTGTCTCTCTCTCACTGTCCACTCTGCCTGTCGAAGAAGAAAAGAAGAAAACAAAACTTTCAGGCTACATGGATAAGTTGTATATGAAACATAAATTAATTTTGTGTTTTGACTTGGGTTCCATCCCTGAGATATCTTGTTAAATGCAGATATTCCAAAAATCTGAAAAAGTCCAAAATGAAGTACTAGTCCCAAGCACTTGGGATAACAAGTGCTCAACCTGTATTGTTAAGCATTCCTTATTTTGTTTCTCATATTCCTTTCTTTAAAAAATTATTTGACACCTGCAGCCTGGGCGCCTCGCAGGGTCGGAGGTCCCCAGCGCTCACCAGACTTGCAGACACAACATACTCTAGAGGGAGCTGAGGCATGGCTGCCCCAGAGCTGGGGGCTCCATGTGCAATTTTCCTCTGATAGCTCCTGGCTGCTATTGCCATGGAGATGATGGCTATGCCCTGTCATTATCGATCCACCAACAAGAAGAGAAGCTTTGCAGTCGAGATACTGTTTGGCAGATGGAGTGGTTTCTGTTGGACACTAAGTACTGCTACAAATGAAAAAAATAAATTAATTAAAAAATTATTTGAAAGGCAGAGTTAGAGGAAGAAATGGAGAGATCTTCCATCCTCTGGCTCACTCCCTAAATGGCTGCAATGGCTGGACCTGGGTCAGGCCAAAGCGAGGAGGCAGGAGCTGCTTCTAGGTCTCCCGTGTATGTGGTAGAGGCCTAAGCACTTCAGCCATTTTTTGTTGCCTTCTTAGGCACATAAGCAGGGAGTTGGATCAAAAGTGGAGCAGCCTACTTACTCTTAGCTCCTTGATAATGTGTCTGGGAAAGCAGTGGAAGATGGCCCAAGTACTCATGGGAGACCTAAAGCTCCTGGCTCCTGGCTTTGGACCAACCCGGCTCTGGCCATTGCAGCCATTTGGGGAGTGAATCAGGGTATGGAAGCTCTGTCTCTTCCTCTCTCTGCAGACTCTTTCAAATAAATCAATCTTAAAAAAAGTCAGTGCCTCCTGTTCATTCTTTTCATTACCACTGCTCTACTTCAAATCAGACTTTCTACTAGACTACTCAGCCTCAGCTTGTTTTGGGGAACAAAGGAAAGACTTAGTTTCTGGAGAAAAGCCTCCTTGGTGTTGGCATGTCATTGCTGTTTTGTGCTTGGAGGTAGGTTCTCCAAGAAAACTCTTTCAGAATAACCGCATCTATTGTCCTTAAAATGTTTGAGAATGTTTTTTGTCTTCTCAAAATTCAAATATTCGTGAATAAATTGTTTTAAATGTTAGAACAGTTATGCTCTCCAAAACAGTTTTGGGTGTGTGGCCTAGTGGTCATGATGACTGCGTTTTGCATCAGAGTGTCTGCGTTCGATTCCTGGCTCCAGCTTCGTACCAGTTAAGACCCTGGGAGGCAATGGTAATGACTCAAGTAATTTGGTTTCTGTCACCACTTGGGAGACCTAAATTCACTTCCTTCCTGCAGTCCTGGCAATTGCAAGCCATTTGGCAAATGAAACCAACAGATAGGATGCGGCTGTCACTCTGCTTCTCAAATTAAGAAAAAAGCTTCTACTCAGAGATCTTTTCTCTGAGAGGGTAGGCATTGGTCCAAAGAAATAATTATTTGTACTTAAAATTTGTATTGCTAGAGGTCAAATTCTTTTTTTAAAGATTTTTTTTTGAAAGTGTTACAGAGGTAGAAAGATAGGTCTTCCATCTGCTGGTTCACTCCTTTAAATGGCCACAACAGCTGGAGCTGAACTGAGCTGAGCAGATCAAAGCCAGAAGCCTCTTCTGAGTCTCCCATTGGGTGCAGGGGCCATCTTCTACTGCTTTCCCATATAGCTACTATGTCACAGCAGTGGCAGCTGTTTATTTTTCCTCTTACTTAATACTCAGCTTGTTTTTGGCTTTCACAGGTTATTACTAGTGTCAATTCTTTTCTGAGTTTCAGCTTTGTCTTCACTCATAAATGCTTACCTTCCACTCTTGTTAAGAACTTTAACATTTGTGTATTCCTATTGGAATGTTCTAAGTTCAAAAAGTTTATACTTTCATGGACTGGTAATTTTTTTACTTCCATTAGCTTCCTACTTTTGAGGCTGGAAGTCAACTTTAAACTCCTGCCTTTATATTTAAGACCATGTGTTGCCCAATAAACTAGCCACATGCAGCTACTTAGCACTAGATCGGAGTATAATTCAGGAACTGCATTTTTAATTTGAATAGCTGTATGTGGCTAGTGGCACAAGGTCATTTCTTCTAAGTCCTGTGGCCTAACTTGGATCTTCTGCTCCACCTACTATGTACAGGCCTGGTGTAGCCTTTTTTCTTGAAGTTCAATTGAAGTCCTTACCAGCTGCTTATCAATCAAGATTATGAAGTCACTCAACATACACAGTAACCATCCCTCATCCTGAGTTTGTTACCCACAGTCAACCAGGTTCTAGAAATATAAAATGGAAAATTCCAAAATTCAAACTTTACATTGCATGCTGTTCTGATAGCATGATGAAATCTGCCATTTGGGGCTGGCACATCATAAAATTGCCAGCATCACTACTATTGCACTTTAGTGCTATTTTTTTATTTTATTTGAAAGGCAGAGTTACAGAGTGACTTCCCCTACAAAGGTTAAGCCTCTGGGATCCCACATGGGTGCCAATTTGAGTCCCGGATGCTCCTCTTTCAATCCACTGATGGTCTGGGAAAGCCGTGGAAGACCCAGAAAAAGACCCTGGCTCCTGGCTTCCAGTCAGCTCATTTCAGCTCAGCTCTGGCCACTGTGACCATCTGAGGAGTGAACTAGTGGACGGAAGACCTCTGTCTTTCCGTCTATAACTCTGCCTCTCAAATAAGTCTTTTAAAAAGTGTGATCAAATAACACAAACTTAAAAATCTTGCCATTCTGCTGAGAATGTAAAACCATTGGTCACCTTATAGACATGTTACTATCACATTATCAGTGTGGTGTGTCACCCTTGCACCAGGGGCCAGTGCAGCACCAGCATCCCATATGGGCACTGGTTTGAGTCCCAGCTGCTCCACTTCTGATCCAACTCTGCTATGGCCTGGGAAAGCAGTAGATGGCCCAAGTCCTTGAGTCTCTTGCACCCACGTGGGAGACCTGGAAGAAGCTCCTGCCTCCCAATCCGCCCAGCTCTGGCCATTTGGGGAGTGAACCAACAGATGGAGAACCTCTCTCTAACTCTGCCTTTCAAATAAAATCTTAAGTGATACTGGCAATTTTGTAATAGCACATTGTTATTACTGTTCTTAATCTTACAAATTAAACTATCATAGTTATAGAGGGAAAAACAGTATAGATACCATCTACAGGAAGTCTTTTTTAACATCTCCAGTTTATAAGGAGAGACTACTATGTATTTGAAACTAGCAGGAAGGCAAAGTTTAAAATGCCAGGTTTTTCCCCTATTATTTTCTATAATCAGGTTATAAGATTTGAGTCAGGATTCCTGTAAATACAAAGTTTCAATTCTTAGGAAAAGAATTCATTGTTATTAATTAACACTAAACACCCGATTCCATATATTAGCCAAAAAATACAAAAGACTTGGGTATGAATATCACTGTATTTATTTTCCTACAGGTTAATTTTTATAAAGCCTCAACATATTTGCCCCAAAATTAAGAACCAAAAAAAGAAAAGAAAAAAATCCCCCAAGTTTAGAACTGGATCACTTGGCCCTTTCTCTTCTTATCTCCACCCAGTTCAAAATGCTTGCATCTCTTAATGGCCAGCATCCTCTTGGATCTGCAGTTGGGCTCAACACATTCAAGCCGTAGCACAATCTTCTTCGTGGTTTTAGCTTTCTTCCGGAAAATTGGCTTTGTCTGCCCACCATAGCCACTCTGCTTCCGATCATAGCGCCTCTTCCCCTGGGCATACAGGGAATCCTTGCCCTTCTTATACTGGGTCACTTTGTGAGGCTGATGCTTGCCACACTTCTTACAGAAAGTCCTTCGGGTTTTAGGTACATTGACCATGTTTTTCTTTTTTCAGTACGATGAAAACTGTAGTCACAGATGTAAAACAAAGTAGCAGGCATTAGACATTTTTCGAAGTCAAAGTGCTATACAAAATAAGCTATTTATAGGAATGCAGCACTACCTAAGTGATTTAGAACCGCACCAGGCCCTCATGCGCCGCACCGTCACGTGCACACCTCTATGGAAGGCTTTTAAGCTACTGCGGCATTTACAGAACAAGACTCGCTTTAAAAAGCAAGCGCAGGAGGCCCAGTACGGTCACTTCTCTATACAAAGTGGCTTCCCTTGACGCTTAAGTTTCCTTAACTGTGGCCCAAAAAGAAAAATCGTGGCGGTGGTGCGATCTAACCTTCCACAGAGGGAGATGCTGAGACGTGAAGTTTCTTCGCTACTTCCTGCCCCACACCCACCTGCTCCATTTTCTAGCTCCCGGCTATGGCTACTCAGTACGCAACGTAGCAGGCTACGGCTATGACCCGCCCCGTTCCTTCTCCGAGAACCGCACCAGTCTGGCTTCACGCTTCCTCCCCGAAGCCCGGGCCCCGTCAGCAGCCCCGAGAGCTGACGTGTCCTTCACAAGCCGGCGTGCCTTGCGGCCCGGGAGCCGCCATGCCTGAGCGCCTTTCCCAAACGGCCACGCCGGCTCTTGACTTCAACTAAGCCAAGGCAGCAGGTGTTGCTCTCCCTTTTGCACGACGCCCTAATCCACCCCCAGGATTCTGAGCGACAGCGCCTCCCGGTCAAACGGCTACAGCCTGGCTCTCAGCTTACCGGGAAACTCAGCGACCGCACTCCTCGCCTCGCGCCGCTCGCGCCTCACAGGAAAGGGAGGGAGGAGGCGGAAGTAGGAACTGAACCTGAGCGACAGTGCCGCGAGCCAATAGGCAGCCGGCCACGGCGGCCGGGCGCCTCGGGACGCGTCTGGGAAGCGCCAACCAACGGCCTAAGGGGGCGGGACGGAGGGGTGTGGGCCAGAGGGCCGCGGCGTTCCGCGGGCAAGTCGCGGATTGTCAGAACGGTCGTCGCCGAACAGGGGCGAGGTTGCGTCGCTCGGTGCTGCCGGTCCGGGGCTCGCCTAAGAATGAGAGCGCAAAGGACGCAGGGCCGCTGGAGGCGCAGGTAACGGAGCTGGGGCGCGGTGGGTCTGCTTCCGGGACCCGTGGTGCTGAATGGAGGGGACTGAGGCGACGCCAAGCCGCGGCTCCTAGCCGCGGGGCCGCTGCTTGAGCTGCAGCTGCCAGGCGAGGATGTGTGGAGCCCGAGCGGCGTGAGGCAGCTGAGAGCCTTCGGGTCCCAGGACCCCTGGGGCCCGATATGAGTTAGCGCGGGCCGCCGCGGGGGCCAGTTCCTGCCGCTGCAGGCCAGAGCGACGGCCGCCGCCCGCCCGCCCCCTCCGTGCAGAAGCCGCCAGCTCCTTTCCGCGCCCGCCTGCCCTCTCTCCCGGTCCTGAAGACCATGAGGTTCCGCATCTACAAGCGGAAGGTGCTAATCTTGACGCTCGTGGTGGCCGCCTGCGGCTTCGTCCTTTGGAGCAGCAATGGGCGACAAAGGAAGAACGAGGCCCTTGCCCCGCCGCTGCTGGACGCCGAGCCCGCGCGGGCTGCGGGCGGCCGTGGCGGGGACCATCCCGCCGTGTCCGTGGGCATCCGCAGGGTCTCCAACGAGTCGGCAGCCCCGCTGGTGCCGGCGGCCGCGCAGCCCGAGGCGGACAACCAGACGCTGCGCTACCGGTCCCTGGTGTACCAGCTGAACTTTGATCAGACGCTGAGGAATGTCGATAAGGCTGGCTCCTGGGCCCCCCGGGAGCTGGTGCTGGTGGTCCAGGTGCATAACCGACTCGAATACCTCAGACTGCTGCTGGACTCACTTCGCAAAGCCCAGGGCATTGAAGATGTCCTGGTCATCTTCAGCCACGACTTCTGGTCCCCAGAGATCAATCAGCTAATCGCCGGAGTGGATTTCTGTCCGATTCTGCAGGTGTTCTTTCCTTTCAGCATTCAGTTGTACCCCAACGAGTTTCCGGGCAGTGACCCCAGAGACTGCCCCAGAGACTTGCAGAAGAACGCAGCTTTGAAGTTGGGGTGCATTAATGCTGAGTACCCTGACTCATTTGGTCATTATAGAGAGGCCAAGTTTTCCCAGACCAAGCATCACTGGTGGTGGAAGCTGCATTTTGTGTGGGAAAGGGTCAAAGTTCTACAGGATTATGCTGGCCTTATCCTTTTCCTAGAAGAGGATCATTACTTAGCCCCAGATTTTTATCATGTCTTCAAAAAGATGTGGAAGCTGAAACAGCAGGAGTGCCCTGAGTGTGATGTTCTCTCCCTAGGGACCTATACCGCCAGCCGGAGTTTCCACGGCATTGCTCACAAGGTAGATGTGAAAACTTGGAAATCCACAGAGCACAATATGGGTCTAGCCTTAACCCGCAATGCATACCAGAAGCTGATCGAGTGCACAGACACTTTCTGTACCTACGATGATTATAACTGGGACTGGACCCTTCAATATTTGACTGTATCTTGTCTTCCAAAACTCTGGAGAGTGCTGGTTCCTCAAGTTCCCAGGGTTTTTCACGCTGGAGACTGTGGTATGCATCACAAGAAAACCTGTAGGCCATTCACCCAGAGTGCCCAGATTGAGTCACTCTTAAATAGTAACAGACAGTACATGTTTCCAGAAACTCTAATTATCAGTGAGAAGTCTCCTGTGGTATCCATTGCCTCACCTAGAAAAAATGGAGGGTGGGGAGATATTAGGGACCACGAACTCTGTAAAAGTTATAGAAGACTGCAGTGAAAAAAAATCACAGTGGCAAAAGTGACAGTCTTCTATTTTTGATATTTGTCCAAACAGGATATACAGTTGAATAAAAGGGTTTAGGAACTGGTTTCTGCTTTAATACAAAAAAAGAATTCTTGTAAAAGGTGTCCAAATATATAGTATTCTTTTTGTTGTGTCTGATTAAGATTTAAAACTGAAGTTTTCACTTTGGGAGTTGGGTTTTAAAGCTCAAATCTGTATTGCTAAAGATTATGATTATTGTTGATACGAGGGGAAATTTTATTTAAATTGCATCTATTAATCTTTTTATCTGAAACTTTGTACACTTTTCCACTTTGAAAACTTATTTTACGTACAGCAAAATTTATTTAAAACTCATAGCAGCAAAAAGTATTATAATTAAATCATTAGAGTATTAATGGAACAAGCCGTTTCACTCCTGACACAGTTATTAGGAAAGGGATTGCTTCACTGGTTCATAATTCAGAAGTTTATGTTTTTTAAACACCTTGGCAGAAAGTCATTTGCAGTATTATGGATTCATCTATTGTGTTAAGATTTGCCTGTGCTTTGGAACCTTCACAGAACACACTTTGTTTGGAATGTATTTGAGTGATAAGAAAGTTTAAACATTGTTTTCACCTCAATATAGAAATACAATGGTCTTTTTTTTTTCATTAATGCTACCAAAATAAAGTACTCATTTTTGCATAAAAAGGTCCCTAATCATTTTGCAGAATAAGTTGTTCACTCTTTATACTGAAATTTAGCAGACATTCTAGAAATACTGCAAGTTAAAATTACATTTAATATTTGCTAACTGTACCTGGTAGAAACGAGTTTGAAATAAAACTCAGCTTATGACAGTACATTCCCTTCAGAAGAAACTGGCTTTCAAATTAGCCAGGCATAGATAATGAACAATCAGAAGCTGCTATGTAAGGGAAATACAGCCTAAATTGTTTCTGAAGGCCAGAAATGATACCAACTTCAGTGGTGCCAAATTAAACTTGTTCTAGTGCCAGATTTAACTTTAAACATACTTTTTAAAAGGACAGAAACAATAAATAGGAAATAGGTTTAACATTTAATAAAAAATTACTCAAACTAATTTGCATAAAGGTATTACTATGTCATTTTAACCTAAGAAAACTTAAATGGTCTCGACTACATAAATTTCAGATTCATAGTGTTTGAAAACTATGTATGTTCATGTAAGGCGAGGTAAATAATTCTCTATGAGCTACATTCTACCTTCAAAGTCTGTCTGATGCTCGATTTGCCTGGGGATTGTAAATGTACGTCAGGATGAAGCCAGGCTTTCTACCAGCTTTAGTACTTTGACCTAATGTCAACAGTTCAAAGGACTAAGCAAAGGCCAGAGTCTGTATTAGCTGAGTTTAGAACAGAGATACATCAGCTCAGGGTCCTGGGGGTACTGATTACATCCACAAGTATTTCCTTTTCTACATTTTCTTTAATGCTCTCCTAAAAATTTGTGAGAAATAGTGTTAGATTTTTTTTTTATTTTTTATTTTTTATTTTTTTAAGATTTATTTGAAAGAGTTACACGGAGAGAAGAGGCAGAGAGAGGTCATCCATCCACTGGTTCACACTCCAGTTGGCCGCAACGGCCGCAGCTGTGCCAATCCAAAGCCAGGAGCCAGGAGCTTCTTCCAGGTCTCCCACACGGGTGCAGGGGCCCAAGAACTTGGGCCATCTTCTGCTTTCCTAGGCCATAGCAGAGAGCTGGATCACAAGTGGAGCAGCCATGTCTCGAACCAGCACCCATATGGGATGCCGGCACTTCAGGCTAGGGCATTAACCCGCTGCACCACAGTGCCAGCCCCAAGGTTTTCTCTTTTTAAAAAAGGCATTTATTTAAGGGAGTTAGAGAGATGGATGGATCCCCAAAATGTCCGCAATGGCTGCAGCTGGGTTGATCTGGAGCCAGCAGCTTCTTCCAGGTCTCCCAACTGAGTGCAGGGTTCCAACCACTTGGGCCATCTTCTGCCTTCCTAGGTACATCAGCAGGGAGTTAAGGGAGCTAGAGGGGAAGTGGAGCAGGTGCCCATATGGGATGCAGTAGAAGACGGCCCAAGTCCTTGGGCCCCTGCACCCACGTGGGAGACCGGGAAGAAGCTCCTCGCTCCTGGCTTCAGATCAGCGTAGCTCCGGTCGTTGTAGCCAGAGTGATCCAGCGGAAGGAAGACCTCTCTCCCTAACTCATCTTCTACTGCTTTCCCAGGCCACAACAGAGAGCTGGATTGGAAGTGGAGCATCAAGAGCAGGTATATGGGAAAAGTAAAATGTAGCTGAGGCAAAAATCCTGAATTTCATTTAGTTTATCTGCAGTTGTTAACATGGTTCATATTGGTTAGTGAAGTTCTTTCCCCTCCAGAGAGCCAGCATTGGAGCACAGTAAGTTAAGGCCGCTGCTTACTAAGCAAACATTCCATAGTAGAGTGCCAGTTCCAGTACAGGCAGCTCTGCTTTCCACCCAGCTTCCTACCACCCATGTGAGAGATCAGGATGGAGTTCTTAGCTCCTGGCTTTGGCCAGCCCCATCTCAGACCTGGTTGTTGGGACCACTGTGAACACAGGTTTCTTTCTCTGTTGCTCATTCAAGTTAAGAAAAAAGCTGCTTTAGTTGAAGCATAAATAGTGAGACTTAAAAACAATTAGTTTCTACCCCCTTACAAGGATACTAATATTTCTAGTTATTGCATTCTTGAGAAGTACTTCATGGGACAAGTTAGTATTTTGAAACTTTGAAAAAATAATGGGGCCAGCCGCCTGCAGTGCCAGCATTACATATGGGCGCCAGTTCGAGTCCAGCTGCTCCACTTCTGATCCAGCTCTCTGCTATGGCTTGGGAAAGCAGTAGAAGATGCCCCAAGTGCTTCAACCCCTGCACCCACGTGGGAGACCCAGAAGCAGCTCCTGGCTTTGGATTGGCGCAGCTCTGACCATTGCAGCCAATTAGGGAGTGAACCAGCAGATGGAAGACCTTTCTCTCTGCCTGTCCTTCTCTTTGTAACTCTTTAAAATAAATAAATCTTAAAAAAAATACACATTTAAGCCGGCGCCGTGGCTCAATAGGCTAATCCTCCACCTTGCGGCGCCGGCACACCGGGTTCTAGTCCCGGTTGGGGCGCCGGATTCTGTCCCGGTTGCCCCTCTTCCAGGCCAGCTCTCTGCTGTGGCCAGGGAGTGCAGTGGAGGATGGCCCAGGTGCTTGGGCCCTGCACCCCATGGGAGACCAGGAAAAGCACCTGGCTCCTGGCTCCTGCCATCGGATCAGCGCGGTGCGCCAGCCGCGGCGGCCATTGGAGGGTGAACCAACGGCAAAGGAAGACCTTTCTCTCTGTTTCTCTCTCTCACTGTCCACTCTGTCAAAAATAAAAAAAAAAAATACACATTTATCAGAAAAATCACAAAATTTATCTCCATAATTAAGGAAAAGGCAAAAAGACATATCTCCAATTTCTCCATCAGAGTAAAAGTTTTAATTTTATATTTTGTTGAATATCTTTGGTTTTAATGATTAACAAAAACTTAAAAGATCCCCAGATTTTTTTACTCTTAACGTTCAAATCCCAAAATTATATATAATTAGTCCAAGTCATATAGCAAGGAATTCTGAAAACTGAATGCACAGTGAGTCACATGATCTTTAATAATCTGCACACTACCATCCTGCATATTGGTTTCTTTTATGCTGTCAAAATCTGGTATATTGTGAACTGCTTTTGTGGTCAGTAATGAAGATAGATGATCTTCACGGAATTCTTTCTCTTCATTTATTACTGATTCTTTTGAAGTGTCTTTTTCTTCAGCTGAGTAAGCAGCACTCATTTCTTTGAAAACTTGAGGTTCCATTTTTGACTCAGGTTTCTGAGATTTTTCAAATAGCATCTGAGAAGCATTGAGAGACTCCTGTTCAGTTGCAGTTGAACCACAACTATCTATTTCTAGTGCTTTAGCTGCTATTGATGAGTCAGAATCAGTTGTACGAGTGATAAGATGGTCTACATTTTCCTTTTCAGTTAGATGACTTCCTTCATTGACTCTGTCTTCCTTTCCTTGAAGCTTATCAGAGTTACTAGATTCTTGTACCTGTGTCGTGAGAAAGAACAAATTAATTCTTTGCAAGAAGAGAAAATTAAATTGTATCCCCTGGAAATAAGGGTTTTTAAAAACCTTTGCAGACCTACACGTACGTTTCCAGGCTTCCCCCTGAAGTCATCCTCCAGATGCTACCACTTTTTAAAAAGAGTTATTTATTTGAAAGTTACAGAGAGAGAGGGAGAGACAAAGCTTCCATCTGCTGGTTTACTTACTCCCAGATGGCCACAATGGCCTTGGCCGAAGCCAGGAATCCCATGTGGGTGGCAGGGGCTCAAGCACCTGGATCATCTGCTGCTGCTTTCTCAGGCCATCAGAGAGCTGGACTGGAAGTGGAGCAGCCAGGACACGAACTGGCATCCATATAGGAAGTCAGCAGGGCAGGCTACGGCTTTACTCACCAGCCCTGCCAGTTATTTTTTAACAATGCAAACCTGGCATTAGTTTTCTGATTAAATCCTTTCTCTAATTCCTCATCTCCTTCAATATAAATAATCCAAGTTTTTTATAAAGGCCTACAAAACTCTTTAACAGACATTCTTTTATAAGGGCATTGTTGAATTTCTTTAATTTCTGTGATTAGAGCCACTGTTCTCTCATTTATATATCAGTCATTTGTTGTAGTCAGTAAATTATTGTGTCCAATATTGAAGACAAAATGATCAAACTGGGGCCAGTGTTGTGGTGCAGTGGGTTAAGCCACTGCTTGCGATGCTGGCATCCCATATGAGTGCCAGATGGCCCAAGTACGTGGGAAACCCAGATGGAGTTCCAAGCTCTTGGTTTCAGCTTGGCTCAGCCTTTGCCACTGCAACCATTTGGGGAGTGAATCAGCTGATGGAAGATCAGTCTTTCTCTGTAACTCTGCTTTTCAAATAAATAAACAAAGATTAAGAAAACACCTCCCCCCGCCCCCCCCAAAAAAGCAATCCAACCAAACTGAAACTGCCTCATAGGTCAGTCTTGACATAAATGTACCCAGGAAGAATGAACGAACTGACATAATTCTCAAGGTTTGAGAATGGCAAGATTTAGCATTTACTCCTGGATGAATATTCAAACTTACCAAATATTAGTTTTTTTGTTCCTCATTAGAAGGTTATTTTTGAATGAAATGAGATAATGTGAAAATGTGAACATTTAGTAAATACACAGACAAAAGTCTAAACATCACTCTTCCCTGCCATTAAATATCATTTCCTTTAAAGTTACGACATTAAGAAATCAAAATTTAATGATATCTTTAGTCACTCCTTTATAAAGCCCACTGAAATCCTTACCTCTGCATGAATTTGAATCTTTTTATCATTAACTTGAAGGACTTCAATTAATGGTGGGTTTGGTGGCACTGTCTGTCTCACTGGACAGCTCAGAACCTCTTCAAGAAACTCGTCAACATTTTCTTCGTTGACAAACAACCTTTCCTAAAAATAAAGATAACCTTCCTTAAAAGTTGGACTCAATGCAGTGTGCCTAAAAACAATTCACAAAAACTCTCATAAAGTTATGGGTTATACTTTTTAAAATATTTTAAGGTATTTTCATGTGTTGTTTTGGAGAAAGAAAATTTAGCATTGTACAGAGCAGTA